CTGGTCGTAGCTCTGCCGGAGGTGAGAGTTGAAGATCTTTCTGACAGGAGATTCGGCCAAACGTTTCCAGCAAACCCTTACAGTACGCTTGGGTCCGCCGAGTCCATCCAGCCTCCTCCCCCGCCATCGGATCCAACTCACCACCAGGTGGTGATCAGTTGACAGCTCCGCCCCTCTCTTCACCCGAGTGTCCAAGACATACGGCCGCAGGTCAGATGAAACGACCACAAAGTCGATCATCGACCTACGACCTAGGGTGTCCTGGTGCCACGTGCACTGGTGGACACCCCTATGCTTGAACATGGTGTTCGTTATGGACAAACTGTAACTAGCACAGAAGTCCAATAACTGAACACCGCTCGGGTTCAGGTCTGGGGGGCCGTTCCTCCCAATCACGCCCCTCAGTGGCGCAAAAAGTGGGTATGCGCTATATGCGGCGCATAGGGGCGCAGCACAATGGGGGGCGCCAAAGCGATGGTAAAAAAAAAAAAATTATATAGGCTATATTGTATTTCTATATGTAGCTGCCGTTGTGCGTTTCTAAATCATTTCTGCATTCCTTCATTGTTATATAAAATTTTAGAGGACTAACAGCTAGGCTAGAGTATAGGCGCCCTCATGGAGAAGGGGGGCGGGTAATATCGCGAGCGGGCGGGGGCGCCGTGAGCTCTGAGCGAGCAGGTACGAGTAGTTAGTTGTCGTCGAAAAAGATGGATTAAACAAAATGTTGTGGGGCTAAAAATGGAAAAAGAAAGAGAGAAAAGGAGATGGCATGTCAATTGATGCGACAGCAGCTAAATAACTGCATGCATTGCTGAAAGCCAACAGGTAGGATTCAAAATGTGACATCCCAACACATGTAGGCTATATCTCGGTGGCCATCGGGACTACCGGGAGATTCCCGCTGGGCCGACGTGCTTTTCAGCCAATACATTTCATCCTTTTTTAATTTATTTGTCTTAACGGCCCACAAAACTCATACATCGACGGCCCATTTGTTTGTTGTTTGTTTTGTTTTTTGCTTAATTGGCGGCGCTGTGCTGGTGTAATGCATTGGTCAAAAAAAGTCAGCTTTAGTTTTTTTTTCTGACACACTGGCCCATGAAATACGTCATTATGCGCAAGTATCTTTCAAGTATAGAAATTAGTGCAAAACTAATTATGAAAGTTTCCTTTATTTTTCTGTGCATTTGTTTTACAATAGCCTTTATGGCTACTATCATGGGATTAATATTATAACTATTATTATGTAGTAGTGTAATGTAGACAGACACTAACTAAAAGAGGTTCAAATTTTTCTCTGTTTAATTTGCACCCTGAATATGGGTTGGAGCTTTCAATTTTGAACTCTCAAAGTGCACCAGACTGCTGAATTTAACATTACAGAACACAAAATTTTCTTACGGGGGAGCATGCCCCCGAACCCCCCTAGAGAAACAGAGGTCCACCTACCACAGTTTTACCTAAAATCCTGTGAGAAACACTGGTATTGCTGTTCCAATGGAGCTTAGTTTTGTTAGGGGGGTTCATCAAGGTGGAGTAGCTATAGTTTAATTGTGTTAATAAACGACAATTTTGCACTTATTTTCTTCTGTTAGCTCTCATTTCTTCCTACTCACTTATTTCACAGCACACTTACATTACATTTATTTTTCCTTTTTTTTTTTGGGGGGGGGGGGGGTGCCGGGGGGCGCTAAAATTGTTGCTGCATACCCCTCTGAAACTGGGTAGTTGCGCCCCTGACGCCCCTCCAGGTGTCACTGTCGTTACCCACGTGAGCGTTGAAGTCCCCCAGTAGAACAACGGAGTCCCCAGTCGGGGCACTTTCCAGCACCCCTCCCAGAGACTCCAAGAAGGCCGGATACTCTGCACTGCCGTTTGGCCCGTAGGCACAAACGACAGTGAGAGACCTATCCCCGACCCGTAGGCGCAGAGAAACGACCCTCTCGTTCACCGGGGTAAACTCCAACACATGGCGGCTGAGCTGGGGGGCTATAAGCAAGCCCACACCAGCCCGCCGCCTCTCACCATGGGCAACTCCAGAGTGGTGAAGAGTCCATCCTCTCTCAAGGAGTGAGGTTCCAGAACCCAAGCCATGCGTAGAGGTGATTCCAACTATCTCTAGTCGGAACCTCTCAACCTCACGCACAATCTCGGGCTCCTTCCCCGCCAGTGAGGTGACATTCCACGTCCCTAAGGCTAGATTCCGTGTCCAGGGATCGGGTCGCCGAGGCCCCTGCCTTCGACTGCCGCCCAATCCTCTCTGCACCGGCCCCTTACGGCTCCTCCTGCAGGTGGTGAGCCCACGGGAAGACGGTCCCACGTCGCTTCTTCGGGCTGAGCCCGGCCGGACCCCGTGGGGAGAGGCCCGGCCACCAGGCACTCGCATACGAGCCCCAACCCCGGGCCTGGCTCCAGGGTGGGGCCCCGGCTGCGCCATACCGGGCAACGTCACGGTCCTTGTATATACTTCCGTCATAAGGGGTTTTTGAACCGCTCTTAGTCTGACCCATCACCTAGGACCTGTTTGCCTTTGGAGACCCTACCAGGGGCATATAGCCCCAGACAACATAGCTCCTAGGGTCATTCGGGTACTCAAACCCCTCCACCACGTTAAGGTGGCAGTTCAAGGAGGGCCAGTTTTTTTTAAAGAAATTAATCTTTAATCATTAAATACCCCTGCCCTACTAAGAGGTTCCACTTCAAACCAGGTTTTATGCAAACAGAATAGCTATTACAATTAGCTACTGTTGTGGTGAACAAAATATGCTTGTAAATGAACTTACATGGCAAAAATGATTGCCTGTGAAAAGCTGACAGTTAGGCCTAATAGAAGTTTTAAATTTCTGTAATTGCACATTAACAATTATGAAAGACATTGATGGCTACATCATTCCACACTTACTTAAGCACATGACATCATATAAGGTGCAAATAAAATCTATCTATCTATCTATCTATCTATCTATCTATCTATCTATCTATCTATCTATCTATCTATCTATCTATCTATCTATCTATCTATCTATCTATCTATCTATCTATTCATCTATCTGTATAGTGTAAGGCATTCGGCTGACAAAAAAAAAGAGTTTAGTAAGCTCTGGTCTAGATGAAGATGAGGAAAGGAGCGGTTCCAAAAGAAAGTTTAGCGCTTAAGCTGCTTGGAAAGTCGTACGGGAGCTGCGGGGGGTTCCGATCATATGCGTATGCGGACAATTCGGATGCGATTTGAGCTTTGGATCCGTTGAAATATCTGAACTTCTGCGGCTAGACCGTATGCGACCGGGCAACCGGATGTGATGTATTCTAATAAAAACTATAAGCACGAGGCTAGAATCACAAATATTTTAACTCTTTAATGTTTTTCTGTAAGCACTCTTTTTATAAAATATTGGTTATAATTAACTATAGAAGAAGAAAAAAATTATAATTATTAAATCAATATTTATATTGATCAGCTCTATAAAATCTACTGTTTTTATTTGAGAGTCATTTTTTTGTGTAGATATATTTATGCATGCATTACATTCAATAAAATCATTAATTTTTCCATTGTGAATATCCGAGGTTGCTTCACGACCAATTTCAAAGTTCCGTGCGACTGACACTAGGGGGCGAAATACGACAATCGTATGCGAATGTCGTGTGCAGTGGAAAGGTGGCTTTAGTAGAGAAAGAAAGCAACTCCATCGCCTCCTGGAGGAGAAAGGAAGAATGACGAGGCTGAGCTTTGCTTTTCCTTTGCCGCACTAATAGCAAACAAAAGCCACTAAGCCAGAAAGAAAACTGTAAGAAAATAAATGTACATTCAAAGGATAAAAGGTAAAATTCTCGTTGGAGTGAATGATCTCCGTGTTGAAGATGAAGCAAAAGCTTACAGCACCTGGTATTCCCAGGCGGTCTCCCATCCAAGTACTAACCAGGCCCGACCCTGCTTAGCTTCCGAGATCGGACGAGATCGGGCGTGTTCAGGGTGGTATGGCCGTAAGCGAGAGACTCAGCCGAGAAAGAGTTATTTAAAGAAGGACACCAGCAGCACCCCTACATGACGGACCACACTGACACACGTCCCGAGCTGCAGAAACAGACCCCTTTCCCCTCTCAAGTGTTTTCAAGACTTTTTTCAAAAAATATTCTCGCTTCATGAAATTTTAACTCGGTTCACAGCATTTGTGGCACACATTTTGTACCATAACGATGAGTGAGAAAAACCCGCTGACGTCCCTTTTCCTTAAAAAAAAAGACAGAAAGTAAAAGGTAAAAGTCAAGAAAATTATTAGCTTAATTGTTATGCATCCTAATGATATTGAATACAAATTTGTTAGTTGCCAGACATGACTGATTACAGTTCAATTAAAATGAGTCAATATCACTTGTTTTTTGTTTATACTTTTTAATAATTTATTTAGGCGTTTGATCGTGAACTCGTACTGTTATTAAGAGTATTACTGTAAAAAAAAAATATTTCAAACAAAATTGACTTTTTGAGTCTTCCATTTTTTTTTTTCGAACAGTGCAGATGCTGCCCTCTTGCGTTTGGATTCAACTTTAATAAAGTAAATAACTAAAGCAAAAACTGAAGAAAAAAAAGCTAAGAAACTAAGAAAACTAGAAATTAAAAATAAAATCTTTGATTTTGCATTAAAGTGATGAGATGACATGAGTGCTTTGTACAATATTAGAGATTGCACACATTACAGGAATGTTGACTGATTTTTTATTATTATTACAAATGCTTGAAAAACAAAACAAAACAAATCGGGTATACAAATCAAAATAGGCCTATAGCCTATATAGAACAACCCAAAAAATCAAAATAATAATACAAATAAATAAAATAATAAATGTCAGTTTATTATACAGTTTATAGTTAACAGTTACAGTTAAATAGATGTGTTTATATATATATATATATATATATATATATGCTTAACCTTTGACGCTCCTGTCCATTTGGTGGCGGTATATGCACCTTTTAGCTGGTTTGCCAACCGCCATAAAACTCCGATGATGAAGGAGATCCTCATTGGGAAGTTTTGCTATGGAAGTGCGATAAAACCCTTTGGATAAAACCGGTAAAAAAAGGTTATGTATGAGTTTTTCTGCCAGCAGTTTGATCTGTTTTTGTGACTTACTTGTATCACCGCGTGTAAAAAAATCTCCACACACTCATCATTTTGGTGAATTGAGTGGGTTTAGCTTCTAATTTGATGTTAATGTATGTTTTTAGCCATATCTGTGACCTGTGTCTTAGATTGCAGTGACTCTTAGGGAGGACGGTAATTAATGTGTCTTTTCTCATGCATCCTTCAGCAGAAAGACCGTGAGTCTGAACACTGTTCGCTGACGTGTAACAGGCTAAACTCTCTGTCTCTCTCTATTCATGAACATGAAGAAATCCTGAGTTCTTTGTATGCAGATTTATTTTAAAATTAAATCCATACATATGAGAGAGTGAAACAAACAGCATAATGGCCCAATGACGTGTTGTGCAATTTTGATGTCCAAACCCCTTTATGAAGTCAAAATAAGGAAATGTTTTATAAAAATCACATTTATTTAATCTGTTAATCTCTGTTTATCAAATGATATATTGAGGGTATTACAAAGTGAAAGAATTATAAGACATTACAGTCTCATAACGTCATACCGGATAACTGTCCGGACCTTAGAGTGACATACAAAAAAGCCAAACAAACTGTTAAAAATAAAATAAACCTTAACATCTCTGCCACAGGCATTTTTGTATGAGTCTTGACAACAATATATTTAAATATTACAAAGAATATGACATCCAGTTGATTGTTATGCTTTGGAGCATTCTGTCCCATAACGTCATACTAGAGCCAGGGGTAGGCAAGTTCGGTCCTAGAGAGCCGCTGTCCTGCAGAATTTAGTTCCAACCCTAATCAAACACACCTGAACAAGTTAATCAATCTCTGCGTCCCAATTCGCATACTATCCGTCCTAAATAGTATTCGAAATTAGAATTAGTACGTCCCAAATCGTAGTATGTTGAAATGAGTGTTTCAAAGATACCCGGATGGTCTACTTTTTCCGGTCAGAATCCGAAGTGTAGATCGATGCACACTCTAACGGCTGATATTGCCCACAAACCATTGCGCGTTGGACGAGGATTCGGTTAGAACTACAAACACGAGTAAAAAGTCTTAAAAAAAAACTACAGACACGTAGTCGAAACGGAGGACGCGCGAGTCCCCGCTAGGGCTGTGCCATATCATACCGTCCACGATAATACCGGTATAACATTTTACATGATAAAAAATTGTCATATCGCGATATTGATGATATGATGACGTATGGCGTATTTACGTTACTTAGCGCGTGCACAACAACACAGCAGCATGTCAGCCTCCGGATCAGATCAAGATTTAGTTCCTAAAAAGGGCGCTACTCCAATAGTATGGAAGTTGTTTAAATACAAGAGGTCAGATCTCCCACAACACAATTTTTTTTTTTTTTTGTCAAATATGCATGAAAACTCGTTTCACCACTTCCCTACTAGCGTACATTTTGCATTCGCCTAATCTTCCTTCAGAGTTTCCGCAGTTCGGGTACAACAGTCAACACGATTAAACTCTTTCTAAGATGATTCAATGTTACTATTATTATATTTGTAAATAAAAGGTCTATGGTTTCGCATAACACAACTTTATCTTGCTGGACTTTATTGCTGTATCGTTAACTAAATCATCATGTTACTTTCTACCGGCCGGGTGTCTGTTAGAGCAAAACACTAGAGTCAGAGCACTATTGTTCATCACGCCCACAGTAACTGAAATGTAAAACTGTTAAAAGAAAGGACTCAATAAACGATTGCATAGCTAGATGCTGTATATTATCCACGACGCTACGCATCAATATTTATTTCCTTTGTGCTTTGAACTGTTCAGTGCAGAGTATTCGACGCGCTACGCGTGCGCGCTGTGACTCCGTGTTGCTTCAAGCGCATCATTCAGCGCTCGGGATGCGCATAAGCGTTGTGCGATATATTGGAGCCTTTCATATCATAATACTTTTGCGCAATGAAAGATTATTAATAGCCTTTCTTCTGTCCTATCGATCATATGTTGCTGCCTCATTAAACAGCTGTGCTATACATTTTAAACATGCCTCAATTTTATAGTAGACTAGGCTATATAATAATTAATCCTTTTGATTTGTTACCTTGTTTTTTTTCATGAATGTACAATACAAAGAGCAATGTGTAAAGTTTTACCAGATTTAGTGTTACAATTGTCTCTTATTTATTCCCCACTAAATGTTTTTTCTCTAAATGTTCCGATTTTATACAATTATTGTATAAATTAGGTATTGTATACCTCATTTGATGCTAATCCAAAAACTATGCAAGGCAACTGTTACATTTTGAAGGTTTGTTTGGATTGCCGCTGTTTGTTTAAATTTTTTGTACTTCAAAGTTTAGGTAAATTTTATTAGGTGACTATATTGTGCAGGCTTCTGAAGTTATTGTTAATATTGTTAATGTATTACTGTAGTTATTGTTAAAATAAAATGATAAGGAGTTATGTTATATCGCCCACCCCTAGTCCCCGCGGTTGTGTAGTAGAGAGGTTTAGATAAAGAGCTTTGAGTGATTAATTATCAGTATCTAACCTGACGAAAATGAATTTATTCAATGTTGTACACATTGCATTTGGAGCAGCATTGTGAACTTTTGTAAAGACACGTTTAGCCATTACGTTTTAAATGCATCATTATATTCAAATTGCAAACACACGAGGAGAGCATGAAAGACCCACAACTGGCAGATGAACGCCCTCTCCGAAACGGTAGGAAATAAAATTAGATAGAATGGAGGATTTTAACTGTGACAAGATGATTGACAGGGCAGTTTACGGTGACAGGATGCAACGCAGCACGCGACAGAGCTGTCCGTTAAAGATGACGTGATAGTATGTCCCAAAGCTTGCCTACTCTTTTGCTACACACTCAAAAGTATGTACTTTTTCCTCACAAAAAGAGTACATACTTTTAGGACGTAGTATAAGTAAGCGAATTGGGAAGCAGCCAATGTCTTCAGGATTACTAAGGCTATAGGCAGGTGAGATTTTGTTCAGTGTTGGAGCCAAACTCTGCAGGACAGCGGCTCTCTAGGACCGAACTTGCCTACCCCTGTACTAGACGGTGGGCTGAACGTGTTTTCCGTGTTGTTGATCGATCTCCATCAGTAGAGAATAAGCTTCTTTTATGTATGATATCAAGTCATTATATGTAGTCAAATAAAATTTGTTGGCAATTTTGGTTTGATCATAGCCTGACTTCGTCTAGTGAGAATATGAGTCTGAAACTGCTTCATAGGGCTTTGATTATGAGGCGTGTATTAACCGAACCAGGAAAAAAACAAAAAACACTGCACTCAATTGGAAAGTCGGTAGACCTTCAACCAATCAGAGCAACGCAGTAAGTCAACTACTTTGCATTTCACAGTTGTCAACAGAACTTACTTATTTTAGAAGTTAAATAACGAGTGATGCTTCTTTTAATTGGTCCTCCATGAGTGCGACCAAAGGAGAAACGACAACGACCACAGGCTTTTCATTACGTCCCATCTTCTTAGAGACCGTCAGAGCCAGCTGATAAGTTACACTTTTCCCGAATCATGTAGGAAGGATAGCAAAAAATATCTTTCCGATCGACAAATGCCTTGATTGCAGTTTTCTGTTTGTCTATTAAAATGAATGCGCTGTCAATTTATTTAACAAAAGACGCGACAGCGGAATCTATACATCTCAATTCTCAAGCTGCAGTCATCTCTGAGGGAAATCAGTTAGCGCTCTTTGATAACGTGATGATTACGTCCTTGCAGATCATCTGTCCATCATCGTATAAAGCCCCCCTGGCAATTTGATTGGCCCGAACGTTTCTTGCCTGATCATAATTACTCAATGGATCGAGTCCAGATCGAACTTCCCGTCCAAAAAATGTTGTGGGCGGAGTTCGGGCTGGCATCCAGGCTAGTTTGATCATATATTTTCACAAACATTTGTTTTATTTGTCAATGGTCTTAGGCAAATCACGGGATAGCTCTAGTAGCTGAACCAATCAGATTGTAGTTTTTAGCTCATTAAAAATACTAACCAATCCAGTGATTATGAATTTTAAAAAAAATTGCATATTGTGAGGTCACTGACTAGGTTTCAATGCAACCCACAAATCAGAGGCCGGTTACGTTTTAGGCCGGTAACTTGTGTGAAAAAATCTATTTTTTTAAACATAATTTTTCATTGAATCGATGTCTAAAGACATTTCCATCTAAAATGACTTTTCAGGTAAGTGTGTCTGTCTGAAAAGAAATTTAATATAGTAATCAAATGTCAAACAACACTGCATAGTTTATCATAGTTAGATTAATGCTTATTAAAGTTGAAGTTATTCATTCAAGAGCTGTGAGTGATTTTCTCTGCCTTTTGTTGTTTGATTCGCATTACTGGCTCAATTGTCACGTTTATTAGTAGGGGTAACCGTTTAAAATTCCATAACCGAGTGAAACCTTTTTGCTCGGTTAAGTGGCGTCAATACATATTTGTACAAAACTTTTGCGTTTTTTTTTCTCTGATTGTCGATAAAAAAAATATTGCGAAATGACAGCGTTTCTATTAACGATGTTATGCGACTAAAACATTTTTTTTTCCTTTCGCGATAAGCCATTCCAAAAATAATGGCAACGGACGTTGGTATATCACAGCCACCGCACTAGACATTAGTATTATTTATGGAAGGAGACGTGGTGTGTCATCCGAGCATTAATGGCAGGTAAAGTCACAGAGTTTCTGTGTGTTTCTCCCTCATTTCTGCTCCGCGGTCTTGATTGTGGCATTTCTTTGAGGTTTTGTCTAGTAGGCTATTCCTTGTATCTTTTATGAATTTTAAAAAAGAACTCTGCCTCGTATTATGTCCAAACGGTCTACTTTTGTGTTCATTCGTTTCCCATTATTTAATCGGTTGGCCTAATTGCGAAATGAAAAATGAACGTTTGTTGTATTTTGTAAATAGCAAAGTTGAACACCAAAATGTTCATTTGAACTGTAGG